TTTTTATAAATAAATGTTCATTTAAAAACGTTTATGATTAACGTATTATTTTACTATCAGAGATGTGCAGATTATAGCTCAATGAATCTGCTGTTAATATCCAAGGTGACCTATCATCATGTCTAAAACAAAGAATTAAATTATTAAAGTGACGATCGGGTGCGGATACATATATCAGATAAAACTATATGTGCGAACTGGTAGCGGGTGGAAGATTAGTTTTAGGCTTGCCACGATAGACAGTGTTGACGGTGATACCGGTTTTAAGACGAAACACCGGTGACTTTTTCACCGTGACACCGTCCCCACATTTTTTTTTTTTTTTAAGTATTCGTTTTGGTTTTTTTTTATTTAAATATTTATTTTAATTAAATGGGAAACATAATTCTAATTAATTTACTTCAGACGAGAGCATGCTTTATAATTATAATCTGAACATAGCTACAATGCGTCATACTTCATTTATCACATTAAGAGAACGAGAGGAGTCGAATTTACAGAAAGAATGGCGGACGGATAAGTGTCAAAACGCAATGCAAAAGCGCCTGTTTGGCTATATTTTGGGTTCAAACCAAATGCAAAAAGAGAACCTGAAGACGTTAATGAGGCAATCTGCAAACTGTGCCTGACAAAGGTAGCAGCAGTTGGAGGAAACATAACTAATTTATACACTCATTTTCAACACACTTATACTTGATGTTCAACTAATGTATGTGCGGGTCGCGGGTAGATAAGATCAATAGCCATAAATACGCAACGCATAATCTCATTTAAAAAATCACGCAACCATCATCTCACTATGTTTAATAAATTATCTTTTTTTTTTTTATTAAAACAAGAGTGATTTAGCAATGCCGCGCCATTAATAAGCCAACTGCAGAGAAACAAAGCAACTATCGCGGCAACAGCCGTGAGCAACAATCAACAATGAATAGGCCGACAAGAGTGTAGGCTAACCTGTGTGTGTGCGCGTCTTTTATCACTGAGAATGCTCTCTTCAAAAACCGAAAGTTGCTTCGTCTGTCTGGCAATATTTCGGCTTTTAATAAATGAAAATTTAATTTAGATGAGCCAATATTAAAAATTGCAATAAAGTAACTGAGACACACGGCCACACGTCTCAGTTACTGAATCTGAGGTCTGATCTCATCTCTCTCGCTGTCATCTAGACACAGATGCCTAACGAGTCAGGTCGCAAAACTGAAGCTGGTACCAGCTGACAGGTAGAATAGCTGAAGCCTTTGCGAAATCTGTCAAAATACAGCGCTGAAATTAACAGGCATAAATGTCTTTGAGCCAGAAAGTCTATCTAGGATATCTGTCAAAACGCAATTGGAGCCATGGAGGAGTTGTGTAGCCTTTAAATGATATTATTTCTAATAAAATGAAAACCAAAATAAACTATTCATTGCATTTTTCGTTTGATAAAAATATACGTAAACGAAAAAAAATCAAAGGGTGGCTAGTTTGTTGTAATGTGTTTTCATATTAATAAAAATATGCTCAGCCTATTTAAGTTTAACGGTTAGCCTATACGCCGTCAATAGGCTAACCATTCAAAAAATATTATTGTACTGTGTACTGGGTTACAATCTATATTTTACAATAAAAACTAAATGTAGCATGTCTCACTGTCATTTAAAACATGTAATTCATACCACACCAGAGCTGTGGACCTACAGTATGCAGTGTGTTAACTTACAGAGTGGTGTTGGTCCATCTTACTGCGCACCGAACTCCAATCCGAGGGAGATTATGTTACTCGATAGACAACATTAACTTGAGAGATTTTAAAAATAAAATGTATTTTTTAAAAAGGAACAACACGCAAATCTGCAACAAATAAAATAAAAATAAAAACGTCTTGCCAGTGCAGTGTGTATTCCGCCACTGACAGTGTAAGACGCCCTTATGCAGCGCCTGTAACTGCCGATTTATAGAGAGATCAAAGCTGGTACCGATATAACCAAAAAGCAAGATCATAAGTTATAAATATTCCATAACAATACTTATCGAAATATTTATACATTTACATGTTGTTTATTGAAATTGTGTGATCTGTATAGGCTGTCTGATCTTTACAGAAGCTGTAAACTGACACGTGTGCGCTGATGTTTAGCTCTGACAAGGCGCTTTTATTCAGCCTGTAGTCTTTACATTTTTTTACATAATGTTCCATTTCTTAACATTTTTTATTATTTTTTTTTTATTTATAGTTTATATATAAAATGAGTGCCAGCTTGTTTAGTTGTGATCATTATGCAAGGATCATATTTCAAATTCGGTTTATTCTTCAATAGCCTATAGATTCCTTAATAATGTATTTTAGGACTAAGGACTAAGCTGTTAATATAGGCGTTTATGGTTGTTATTTGTATGGTTCCAACTTCCAGTTTTTTCAGCCTGTAGCATTGTTGTGTTTTATTCGTTATGTTAATAAAATTTTGTGTTGTTTAATAACAGTGATTTAATTTTTTTTTGTAGCTTCCTTTTCGTCCATTCAAACAATAGACGCCGAATTGACAATTCCCGCAAAACTGAAAGAAAAGAGGAAAAAGCAGAAAAAAAATACCAGTATTACCGCTGTTGTCACATGTCGATTAACCGGTGGGGAAATTTCCTCATCGCCACAACCCTAATTAGTTTGAAGCTGCGGATTTAGGTGCCATTTCAGCTGATCTGTGCATCTCTATTGTACATGTTGGACAAAAATCTTATTGTCAGATGTAAAATAAGCCAACATATAACCGACCAAACTCTATTTATCAATTGTGTAAAATATAGGGGTCCTCACAAGGCCAAACTGTCCTTACAATTCATGACCATGTCATGCCCATCCCCCAATACACTATACAGTGAACTCATAACCAACCAAACTCTATTCATCAATTGTGTAAAACATGGGGGTCCTCACAAGGCCAAACTGTCCTCACAATTCATGACCATGTCATCCCCATCCCCCAAAACACTAGTCATTATTATATATTAATAGAGAGTAGGGATGCTAACAGTTACTCACTGATCGATTGATTGTCAGTAACCTGTTTAATCGACAGACCTTATCGACGATGACCGATTAAAGGATAAGTTATGATTTGAGCTGCGAGACATTCGTCCATGACTTCACACATTAAATAATCGAGTGTGTGCAGTTTATGTTCTGTGGGGTGGATGTATTTAACCCTGTTTTGATTGGTTATATATGTGTGTGCTGCCTTCCTGAGTCAGGTAATCAAAAAGTAGGCTATGTGATGTTTAATTATGAGTGGGTCACGGGTGGATAAGATCAATCATTGGTTATGCAAACTTTAACTAGTTTCTCTAAAATGTTAAGGTGTTTTAAGCAATTTCATCTGACAGACTGGCACGAATTGGTGCATGCAGACTCTAATTTTAAAAATCGTGCATCACGGCCCGACATGCGGTGAGCCTCTCCATTCTCACAATGAGTTTCTGAGTTATCTCATCCTTCAGACCGAGTTTGTTCTTTCTAGGTAATCTGTGAACACAATTAGTGCTCAGAATAGCTTGTAAAGTCTGTCCTGCTCTTTTAAATTACTTGATGAAATGAATTAAAGTCATAATGGCCAGCGCAATGGATTATTTTGTCATTAACAGTGAACACAGTTTAATGTAGGCTTCCCTGAAACGAGAATGTTTTACTTGAATTTTATTTATATTATTATTTTATTTATTTATTTAACAAATAAATTGTGTTTTGGGTCTGAATAGCAGTACTTCTTTTGAAACACTTCACCACAAATGTTATTCATTCTTTATTTTCTAGATAACTGACCAACAAAAATGTACATTATTTTCCAAGAAAAATATGTGAAGTGTACATTTATGTTCATGCCTGTTGCATTGGTTGATTTGTTTCACTCCCTGAAAAATAAGGATTTAATTAATGCTCTACTGTAATTGGTTTATCCCAAACCTCTGTCCTATATTTGCTACAAACTTTAAAACTAACAAAGTTTATAATAAGTCATTATTTTACAGATTATGTCTTAAGCATCTGAATTTTCATCTATGCTGATGTGCTTTCATTTTCTCCATCTTACTCTTGGCGAGTTCAGGTGAAAGAGTAACAAGTAAGATTTGCCTAAATTTCATTTGCCTGCATCAAACTGGCAGGAAAATCTACATTTAAAATATATGAAATACAAAGGCTGGTTATTTTACTGGTGATGAGGGATAATAGTAGCATTACAGAGGAAATGTCTTAATATTAAAAAGGAAACATAAGTTTGACATCAACAGATCCTATCAATGTCGTATCGAATGTCTTAAAATAATGTAGCCTATATGAGATCAAGCACCAAGTGTTTATTGAGATTGTGTCACCTATCATATATAGTCTGTTCTTCACAGAAGCTTTAAGGCACCTTTATTTAGCCTAGCCTACTACTGTATATACATTTAGATTTTTTACATATAATGTTCCATTACTTAATTTCTTTATTTTTTATATTTAAAGTTTATACATAAAATAAGCACTAAGCTTATTTTACAGTGATCTTTATGCAAAGAGCATAGTGTGTATTGTTTTTATTCGTCAGTAACAAATTCATTAATTATGTATGTTATAAATGACTGTTTATAAGAACTAAGGTGTTAATTACTGCAAGTCTCCAAATGGAAAATGCTTGGGTGATTTCTTTAATACTTCAAAACATTCCAAACTTTATCTATTGTGTTTATGGAGTGGTGATTAATGATTAATTGATAATTTATCGCTAATTTAAATGATCATGGATCACAGGATTTTGTGGAATTTGATATCCCTATTAGAAAGGGGTCTATTTTACTCAAATAGAGTTATCACAACAACGTTTTTGAGATAACAGCCCAGGACAAACAGCCTAAAATGGCACTTAACCCTTCTACATCTAACATTGTCATTGTCAAAGACGAAATTATTTTGTTTGCAATAAGTTATATTTGCAGTTTTGGATAGAAACTCTGCTCATACCAAGAAGGAAATTAAATTCACTTACTGTCTCTTTCTCTGATGTGGAAGTTTCTGCACTGCATTTGATCCTTGCCATTGATGACTCTTCACATAATTCCTGTAAATGTGAAAAGGAAAGGCACAAGATTGGGTCAGAAAGCTTGCTAAGTAAGTACACTTAACTAATGAACTACTATTACCTGGCCAATTTCAGGCATTAGGGAAAAGCAAATGGATGAAAAATGCATGGACAACATCTACAATTTCATTTAATTTGTTATTTAAGTTTTTGTACAAGAGAGCAAACGGTTAGCATAAATTCCAAACTCTATTCATTAATTGTGTAAAACATGGGGGCCAAACTGTCCTTACATTTCATGGCCATGTCATGCCCATCCCCCAATACACTATACAGTGAACTCATAACCAACCAAACTCCATTCATCAATTGTGTAAAATATAGGGGTCCTCACAAGGCCAAACTGTCCTCACAATTCATGACCATGTCATGCCCATCCCCCAATATACTAGTCATTATTATAAATTAACAAAGAGGGGTAGATTGTACTCAAAGAGAGTCATCGCAATAACATTTTTGAGAAAAACTGCCCAGGAAAAACAGCCTAAAATGATGGTCAACCGTCCTTCTACAACCACAAATCAGAAACAGTACGGAAATTGCTAATAAAATATAGTGTAATGTTGCCATTCCTTTTTACAACACTTAAAAATACGTTTAGGGACTGAAGACAGCAAGTGATGAAGTGTTTCATGTGTAAATTTGTACCATTCTTACTGCAAACAAGTCAAAGTGGGCAACAGTATGGGGTCTTTGTTGTTGCATTGTATGCTTGGAAATGCACCACACATTCTCTATTAGAAACAGATCGGGACTGCAGACAGGCCAGTCCAGTACCTGTGTCCTCTTTAACCTGTTTCACGTCACATCATTTAACCATTTTATCTGATGACAGCCCTAGCCTACTGTCACTACTTTTTTTGAAATATGTTGCAAGAACCAAAATTGGAATATGTGTTTATTAAACACATTAAATAATGTCTGTTGGATTATCTGCAATTCAATACAAATCAAAGTAAATTTAGAAATCAGTACTTTCTTTTTTATTTGTGTTTTCCATACTGTGCCAATCTTTTCTGATTTGAGGTTTTAACATGGTCAGCATCAAGAAGGAAATTAAATTCACTTACTGTCTCTTTCCCTGACTTGGAAGTTTTCGCACTGCATTTGATCCCAGTCACCAATGACTCTTCATTCAACTCCTGTAAAAGTGAGAAAGAGAAACACAAGATTGAGGCAAGAAGATTTGCTAAGAGATTATTTTATTCTCTTTGACTCATTTGAGTGAAACAGTGATTGTCGGAAACATTTAATGCATTATTTTAATTTTCCACATAAGTTACATTTGCCTATTGGCTTTTTGTCAAAGGAACCAGCGTGATGCTGACTGCTGGTTTGTCTACAAAGTGACATCATAATCCTACCACTCTATTCAACAAATGTGTTCAAATATGGGGGTCAGAAGGAAAACTAGAGATATTCATATTAATCGTTTAACCGTTAACTGAAAGGATGCATTTTTAACCAATTTATGGTATTAGTTAAACAATTAAAATGTACTATTATTTTCCAACACATAGGGCTATTTGTTAACTCATTATAATATGTGCAACCACACGTGCCTACAGACATATTTTGATAATAGAAGCATAATGAAAATAGTGAAAAGACTTGTCACAGTTTGACACAGACAAGTTGATGCCAAACTAACGCTATTGGTGATTGCCTCTGTCCTGGATCTGCATCATAAACACCTTCATGTATTTGCACAAGTTGAGAAAGAAGCAGTGGAAAGAAGAAGTGGAAGTCGAAGCGTTGTGGTTTTCACTTGCTCTGAGTGTGCTCAACACGGCAACATCATAAATACAATCAACAAATAGCTAAACCTTTCTTCATTTGAAGAATTACAGTTAATAATAGTCCTTATAAAAGATCCATTTCTAAAATAGCCTGCATAGCCTAATCTACAAATCAAACAAATGCTGATTGACTTAAATGATTTATGCATATGATAACTCCACACCAAACTGAGACTTTCATTTTATAGCTTTATAAACTATAAAAATGTACGCAAAGTAATGCAATCCTAGGCCTATACTTTAAATAAAAGTAAAGAACAGAGCTTCATTTGACAGATGAAACAATCTAAATGAAAAAAAAAAAAAAAAAACTTTGTCGTCAACTAGTCTACGGGCTACACTGTTTACGGGCATTCTATACAGTATGACAATGATATAATCTGTTGTTGATAAGTTTAGGCTATATTTCCTTCTCAATAAATTTCTAAATTTTCTTTAAAATCAACAAGTGTCTTTTTATTTTTATATTTTTTTAAGTTTCTGAATATTGAGATACAAAGATGCTATTTTTCTATAGTATTCATTTTTATTTTTTATATCTCTTTTTGCACTGTTTTTATACAGTTATATTGTAAAACTTTACCCTAGTTTGCTGTATGTGTTTGTACCATTTTATTAATGGATAAACAGGGCTAGTATTATACACAACTGCTTCTACAGATACCCACTCAGGTATCGGTTTAGTACTTACTTTTGGCTGATTCCCTGAGCTCAGGTATGAGAATCAGTATCGGGAAGGGAAAAAGGGGTACTAAAACATCCCTACCTCCATTTCTAACATGGTCAGCATCAAGAAGGAAATTAAATTCACTTACTGTCTCTTTCCCTGATGTGGATGTTTTCGCACAGCATTTGATCCCAGTCACCAATGACTCTTCATGCAATTTCTGTCAAAGAGAAAAAAAGAAACACAAGATTGAGGCAAGAAGATTTGTGAAGTGATGATTTTATTGTCTTTAACTAGCTTGATGCAAATGATTATTGTTCACAAATGTTTTGGGAATATTTCAATTTTCCACACAAGTTACATTTGCAGCTTTAGATGGAAACCTGGCCTTTATCAAAAAGGAAAATTTAATTCACTTACTTTCTCCTTCCCTGATGTAGAAATTTTTCGAACCACATTCAATCATTGCCATTGATGAGTTTTCACATAATTGCTGTAAACATGAAAAGGAAAGGCACAAGATTGGGTCAGAAAGGCAGTGAATGCAGATATAAAACGAGCCTAAAAAGACAATAAATAACCAAACCAACCCCTATAGAGTGGTGGAACTGTGATATCCCTGTAGACAAAAACCCAGAAGCGAGTTTGTTTTTTAGCACTTCTGCTTCCAACTTTTTAATGTAATTTTTTTGGAATGGCATATTTGTTAAATCCCTAAAATTATGTAGTGTATGGTTAACTCAAACTTAAAATACATTCATGTTTTATTCTAAGATATAAAACACACCAGTTACACCACATTTGTGATTTTTTTAAAGCTGTTAGGTGTCTTTGTAAAGCTGGTTGCTAAGAAGTTGCTAAATGAGACTACAGGTGCTGTTGAAAATGAAATATCTCACAGTGAACAGGTTGATGGTGATGAGGTGACGATCATGGTATAGTTCGTTTATAGCCTAGTGTCAGACTTTTAGTTGTGGTGCTTGTATTCAGGCTTTAAAATTCAGGAAAGTCATATTATATTAAAGAGTATCTTATATTAAAGATGATCTCAGTGAAGCAAAGGTTCAAGTTTAATGAACTATGGCTGAGCACAGTGCTTAGTTTTTGCTATAATCCTATTGGCTACACGAGTGACATTATAAATGAGTGATTATTATAGATTATTAGAGGGGTATATTTTAATCAGAGAGGGTCGTCACAACAATGCCTTTGAGACAACAAGCCAGGAAAAACAGTCAAAAACAGTGGTCAGCCCTCCTACATCTAACATTATCAGTAAGTTTCACAATTCATATGGACCAATTTCTACTTCCTCCAGATCACTACCTGTAGGTGTGATTAAAATAGTTGCCTCATTTTGTGTAGTTTGCAAAATAAGTATTTAATTGTGTGTTGTAACTTGTAATCATCCATGCGCGGCTAGTAATCATGTATCTATTATAGATCAGTGCTTGTACTGTATCTCTCAGGTTAAATCTGTATTGGCTTTAAAATCTCTAATAACATTATTATATCTCATATATTATATCATATATTATATCTATTGCTGGTAAGACATAACCAGCCTTTCAGCAAAGTCTGTATTGATATACTGATATTTCTGTGCTACTGAGGACAGTGCAACTAAAATCACACAAGCACTGAGGTAAAATCAGATGCTCAAGATATAATCTTTAAAATAAAGACTTCTATAAAAAAAAATGTTGACAGACGTTGTGATATAAGAATTAGAGAGGAGCATTAATTAAATGCTTACCTTCTGTAGAGCAAATGATTTGAGGTATCCTGATATTTTTTTTTTTTATTAAACAAAAACCAAAAAGAAACATGATTGGAAATAAACAGCATGCTGGTTCTTAAAAAGTATTTAGTCAGTGTTTTTGTTTTGTAATCTAAATTTGTAATTTAACTGAAAAGAAAATATTTAGGGCATGCCTATTAATTTTACTCTTTTTATTTAGTTTATTCTTTTTTTCTATGCTGTTGGAAACACTGTGCGTGAAGATTTTATAATGTTCTGTTGTTCATGTTCTATACTGTTGTTCACATATTAAAATAAATCAATACTTTAAAATGCAATAGGCCTTTTTGATGTGTCAGACACAAAATAGACACAACATTTAGAAAAAAAAAGTATTAAATGATCATTTAATATTAATCTGACCGGTTAGTGTTTAATATTCGGTCAATGAGCATCGGTTGTCGGTTGAGAAAATGTACTGAAATAGGCATCTCTAAGTGTAATTTTTTTTTTTTTGGAATGGCATATTTGTAAATATAAAGTCCCTAAAATAAGGTCTATGTTTAATGCAAGCTTAAGAAATGATCTTCATTTGTACACTCCTTTGCGCTCACTGAGATCATCTTCTGCAGAACTGTTATCTGTCCCACACTTTAAGATGACGTCATTTGATGGCAGGACTTTTTGTTGTACAGCACCAGTTATGAAACTCCCTGCCTTTGCACATTCGCCAGGTGGACTCTAGTTCTGATTTTAAATCTCAGATAAAAATGTTTTTGTTTATGATAGCCTTTAGTGATTTTCTGGTTTAATATTATGCTGATTATCAATTTTACTGCTTGTATATTTATGATGTGCTTGTGATCTGCTGTAAGGTGTCCTTAAGTGCTTTGAAAGGCGCCTAAAAATAAAAGCTATTATTATTATTAAAATACATTCATGTTTTATTCTAAGATATAAAACACACCAGTTACACCACATTTGTGATTTTTTTAAAGCTGTTAGGTGTCTTTGTAAAGCTGGTTGCTAAGAAGTTGCTAAATGAGACTACAGGTGCTGTTGAAAATGAAATATCTCACAGTGAACAGGTTGATGGTGATGAGGTGACGATCATGGTATAGTTCGTTTATAGCCTAGTGTCAGACTTTTAGTTGTGGTGCTTGTATTCAGGCTTTAAAATTCAGGAAAGTCATATTATATTAAAGAGTATCTTATATTAAAGATGATCTCAGTGAAGCAAAGGTTCAAGTTTAATGAACTATGGCTGAGCACAGTGCTTAGTTTTTGCTATAATCCTATTGGCTACACGAGCGACATTATAAATGAGTGATTATTATAAATCATTCACAGTTCATATGGACCAATTTCTTCTTCCTCCAGATCACTACCTGTAGATGTGATTAAAATAGTAGCCACATTTTGTGTAGTTTGCAAAATATGTATTTAATTGTGTGTTGTAACTTGTAATCACCCTGCACAGCTTGTAATCACGCATCTACTATAGATCAGTGCTTGTACTATATCTCTCAGGTTAAATCTGTATAGGCTGTTTACCTATTGTGTCCAAACCATGTTTAAAACTCAACGCCTGCTTCTTTCTTTACCGATTTAAATGAGTTTCTGAACTCACAATCCCCTGCTGTTTGCCATTGCTATGGGCACAATCAGCTGTTTATACACATATGCTGCAGTCAATTTTCAGAATAGTTCAACTTTTGCCACTGTGTGGATTAATACTGAATGTGTGTCGCTGTTATTACTTTGGGTTATGGTTACTAATAGAGCGATATGCTGGTGTTTAACTGCAATACTTTAATGCACTCCTCCATAGTGCCCACACATATACTCTGCACTGTGGCTCCTTCATAACCGTGGTGGGTGTTTCTCTCTGCCTCATGCTGAACGCAGTCGACCAAATCACAGCAGACTGGGTCATCAGACCAATCACTGCTAGATTAGCTTCATGCAAAGGAGGGGTTTGGAAACAAATGAATCGCTGAATAAATCATATGGGAGTCACTGCGATAATTAGGTAAAAATAAATGCATATTTTAGGATAATAAAAGCGTTTTTGACCTTGCATGCAGATCAGCCTGTTGATAAAGACCGCAAAACCAAAATATATGACCTTTTATAATGCATAACAGAAGCTCTTTAAATTCACTTACTTTCTCTTTCCCTGACATGGAAGTTTTCACACTGCATTCAATCTCAGTCACCAATGACGCTTCATGCAATTCCTGTAAAAGTGAGTAAAAAAAAACACAAGATTAAGGCAAAAATATTTGCAAAAGGATGATTTTATTCTTTTTGACCCATTTGATGGAAACTGTGATTGTTTGCAAATGTTTTAATGCATTGTTTTAATTTTCCACTTAAGTTACATTTGCAGTTTTGGATGTAAACTCAGATCATGTTAAGAAGTGTTAACTTACTTTCTCTTCAATACAGACTGTATTCACTTTCTCTTTACATGATGTGCATGTTTTTGAATTCTGCTAATCTTTTTGAAGAAGATGTACAAAGTGGCTACCACTACTAATATAAGTAGAAACAATAATAACCAAAGTGTAATTATCTACTGTCACATACGCAACTATTGTGTGCGCATTTAGGAATAGAACAAAAATATAAAAACATGCACAAGCAATTAAGTTATTTCTTCACAACACAATACAACAAACGTGTCCTCTGATAATAGAAAACAGTCTTAAAGAGAGCACACACTCACCCTTGAATGCCATGGCCAAGAAGAATCACCATAGTTGTGGGTAATTTCCTCATTTGGAAAGATATCCCTTGTAGTAAACAGAAACAGAACTACTGCCTTCATTTAGGATTTCTGTGACCATCATTACGGCATACCAGTTATCCATCCTTTTGTGAAGCATCGATGCTGTGGAAAAAATACTGCATAGTCAAAACATTCCTGACTGAAACACAAAGTACTAACCTAATATTGAATATTTTGTGATGTTAAGATAACCTTGCCCTTTTAATCTTTTGTTAAATATATGACACAGTTTACTTCCCTTCCTAAAAGTGTCCCTAATGACATACTGACCACCTTGTTATTGGTTAGTATACCATAACAATTATTATGTTGTCAATAATATTAATACTACTACTGCTACTACAACTACTAATAATAACAATAATAATAAATAGTCTACAGTGGACAAGCTCAAGTTTAAATAGAGGTAAAGATGGTTTTATATTCGCACATGCAGTCTTTCTCATTAATAATATAATCTCAGAAAATTATTAATTGGAAATTCTAAATAGTAAAATAATATTAACAGCCAACAACCATCAAAGTACATCATTGTTCACAGTCGATTAAATAGTGCTAATGTTGTTTTGAAGTCATACTTACTGTACATGTGATTTCAGTCCAAATATTTAAAGTACCATGGTAAACAATGTATGGAGCTGTCACTGAACGAATGTGTGAATATAAAACCGTCTTTACCTCAATCAAGACAGAGGTAAAGTTGGTTTTATATTTCCACAGTCATTCATTTAGAAGTCTCTATATTGTTTACCATGTTACTTTGAATATTCTATCGGTATTAGCATGGGTGACTTGAAAACAACAACACTGTTTATTTGACTGTGAACAATGTTGTACTTTGATAGTCATTTGCTGCTAATAATCATTCGCTATTTAAAGTTTGCAAATAATACATTTATAAAATTATAGTATTAAGGGGAAAGTCCGAACGTGCGAATATATAATATAAACAAACTGG